CCCCTTTGGGGGTCGAACGACCCTTTCACAGGGGTCGCCTAAGACCGTCGGAAAACACATCTATAATGACCTATTGTTTTGGTGATGAATCCCTATGCTTTCATGATGTTCAATTTGTGACAATGAAATTGGGGGTCACCACAACACGAGGAACTGTATGAAAGGGTCGCGGCATGAGGAAGGTTGAGAACCACTGCCCTAGGGGATCAGGACCTACAGCAGAAATGTCCGATAAAATACAGGCTGCCGGTTAACCCTGAATTTCACACAGACAGCACATAATTGTTTTATATGCGCATCTAAATTTTGCGTGGGACTTACTGTGTTCAACAGTTATTCTTTGTTGATCTGCGATTCAATTATAACCGAGTGGCCTATGTTTTTATTTGCGAAATCTGCCAACCGTGGTCCAGAGGGAGAGGGGTGGCCCCTCTGTTTCCATGGAAACGGCTTTTCTGCTGTCTGGATGCCACTGGCCCGCCCAGGTGGGCAGGTGGCCCCTGATGAAAGGGACTTCTGGCCCCTGGAGGTTCCCCTGCTCAGATCATCAGGGCCGGTGAAAGGGGTGGCTATTGTGATGATAGCAACTTGAAATGCCTACTTTAAACTCTTCTCAAATTTGGTCTAAATGCCTTTTAAACCGTCCAATGAGCTTGGCTTTGAGACTTTGAACGCAGTGGTGATGGCGCCTCAGAAGGTGACCGGAGTAGGTGCAGAACAAAAGCGAACGCCAGAGGACAGTGAGCTGAGGGCATGGGCGGGGGGCTGCGACTGTTCGATTGATTGGAATCGAGTTAACGCTCATCCCTTTGCTTCTGCCAGCCGGGCTGCGGCCCAGGGCGGACACTGACACGCAAGGTGGCAGCTGCCCGTGCCAGGACAGTCGCTTAGTGACTTTTGTTTGTTTTAATAACCTTTACATCTTTATTTTCAATATACGTCCCTTTAAGTTATCTGATGGCATTCATTTGTAAGACCTTGAAGTGCTCCACTGACTAGAGACACCAAAGCCGTGATTCTAAAATGGCTGGTGCGGCTCCCTCCCTCCCTCCCTCCCTCCCAGGCAGGGCTCTGGCAATGACCAGAGGTGTACTAAGTGCTCAGGGCCATTGCTATTAGGAATTCAATCCTGCTCCCCTCACCCGAAGTGATAATAGCAGCGGCCAACTGGTCACCCACCCACCAGAGCCTCCCACCCGTCCATGGACCAACTGGCCAGGGCATGGTCTCCTCCCCTCCTGGGCTGCCAAGCGCCCTGTCCACTGGCCCGTGATCCTGTCAGCAGCTGGATTCGATGTGAAATTCAATCAACAGAAGATGAAGACAAAAAAATACACGGATGCCCCTTCTCTCCCCGACCCAGCATGGCAGTGGGGCCTCTATCCATGGGAAGGGGCAGGACGGGCTCTGTCGGCTTGCCCCAGCCTCCACCCTTCTCTCCTCTCCTTAGCCTGAGGGAAGAGGTGTACACCAGGCCAGGTAACCCTTGGCCAGGTGGGCTTGGACTCCTGCCCCCCATGCCCCACCCCCACCCCAGGCCCTGAGGCCCAGGAGCTCCCTCAGAAGCAAAGAGGCCCCAAGTAACTCTCTTCCAACTGCCCACCCCCAAGGGCTCTGTGCTACAGACTGCGTTCCCACTGCGGGTTTATCTGAAGGAAGACTTGCCATTGTCAAGTACGAAGGTCATTCATCCGGTTCTGCCTCCTTAGGAACTTGAGACCAGAGAAATGAAATGATTTGCCGGGTCGCCGACTCCCCCGCCCCCCCGGGTCCCCCATCTCCTCCAACTCCCAGCCTTCAAGCCAGCGAGCAGACAGCCCATTTAGAACCCGCATTTGGAATTCCGTGTACATGAGTCAACGTCTTATGGGATTGTTTGCTTATCGTATTCTCCAGAACGAAAGAGATCTTTCCTTCCCCTTTGTAGAGACACGTGTGCTCTCTGGGCCCGGGAAGGGAGAAATCTTAGGCGCGCGCCCCGTCACGTCGGGGACGTTAGCCAGGGAAGCCCTGTCTGTCTGGGAGGACGTGCGGTCGTTCTGCACACTGAGACCCTGCTCTGCCATCTTGGCCCGTAGGTTGGTGCGTGCTTCCTGCAGATCCCTCGGCGTGACACTGTTTGTATTATAACCGCCTTGCCCGTGACCCCAGCGGGTTTATTTTATTTTATTTTATTTTATTATATTTTATCATTAGCGGGAAATGCAGAGTAGCAGGCAAGCTCGTTAATGTATTGTTCACACGCAATGGTAAATTACTGCCATTCCTTCCTGTGTACCGATCATACATCACGGCATGGATCATACATCACGGCACGGCGATTACAGGGAAATGACAGCCTGTGTGTCACCGGCGTGTTGCAGGGACCACTATGCCTCATTCTCTCCCCCCCCCTCTCTCTCTCCCCCTCTCTCCGTGTATGGATCATACATCACGGCATGGATCATATATCACGGCACGGATCATACATCATGGCACCGCGATTACCGGCAAATGACAGCCTGTGTGTCACCGGCGTGTCGCAGGGACCACCGTGCCTCATTCTCTCTCTCTCTCTTTTCTCTTTCATACTGATGTCTCTCTCTCTCTCTCTCTCTCTCCCCCTCTCTCTCCCTCTCTCTCCCTCTCTCTCTCTCTCACAAGAAGTAATTGCCACTGTGGCTTCTCCATCTTCTCGCTCACGCGTCGCTCTTGTCGCCGAGGGTAGACTGTGCCTTGGCATCAAGCGGCGCCCTTATATTTTTTCGAGGTTGAATCTGGAGACGCTGATCTTCCTGTGCTGAGGGAGCCAGGAGGCCTTGCACCTGTTTTTCAAGTAGAACCAAGTTTTCAGGCTTCCCTGCTGTTTCTCTCCCGGCTCCTTTTTCCTTGGCTTTTATGAGCCCTGACCTGGAGGGTGGCCCTGAACTCTGCCTCCCCACCCCCCCGGCCCCCCGTGTCCCCCGTCCACGGGCCTTCGCCCCTGGGCAGGTCCTCCCCACACCTCGTCTTCCTTTAACCTCACTGGAAACACGTGACCATCAACCCTCCCGCTCTCTGGGGTCTTAGAAGTAGGGTGTTCTTACCTCGGTCACATGCAGGGACTTACACTGACGTGGAGGAAGAAGGGAGGGGAGTCTTCTTCCCACCGAAGGGAGCAAAGGTGGCAGAATTCTGGAATGACTTCTCCCACCAAATCCAGAAATGTGGACACCCCTTCCCCACCACACACTCACCTTCAGAGAAGGGATCCCCCAGGCTCTAGCCGGCTGCCCCCAGCCCTGCATCCCTGGCTGTCACCGGGCAGACAGCCTGTTGGGGGGCCTCCATTGGCCCCAGGGGCACAGTGATCTGGGCTCAGGTGCCAGCCCTCATGTCTTCATGGAACCGTCTCTTGGGGGCCAGGATTAGGGATGGGTTGACTCATGAGTCGGTGAATAAATCCAAAGATTAAAAACACTCTGTTCCTTTCGGTAAGCATTTTGCCCATAAGTATCTTGGTCTTATTTACTAGGTCAGTGATGGCGAACCTTTTGAGGTCGGCGTGTCAGCATTTTGAAAAACCCTAACTTAACTCTGGTGCCGTGTCACATATAGAAATTTTTTTGATATTTGCAACCATAGTAAAACGAAGACGTATATTTTTGATATTTATTTTATATATTTAAATGCCATTGAACAAAGAAAAATCAACCAAAAAAATGAGTTTGCGTGTCAGAGGTTTGCCATCACTGTACTAGGCTGTCTGGCACCGAAGAGCCTGCGTTAGGAATAGAGTAGCCCCATGCTATCTATTAAGCAGGCACACTCTTCACCATGTAAAGCGAACCTCCCTCTGACAAGGTGCCTTATAAGACCGCGGGAGAGCAGCCCCGTGGCGGACGGGCCAGCGCGTCCCTCGGGACTGCGGTCACCCAGTGCGGAGGGCTTCGCACGCGGTGAGCGCCTGGTACTCACACCCTTATTCTTCCCCACTGCCCAAGTCTGCCCGCTACCTCCCATGGTGAGCCACGGCGACTTCGTCTGCCACCCGCGGCCTTGCGATCGCTACAACCACGGGACCGTCGTGGAGTTCTACTGCGACCCCGGCTACAGCCTCACCAGTGACTACAAGTACATCACCTGCCAGTACGGGGAGTGGTTTCCTTCCTATCAAGTCTACTGCATCAAGTCAGGTGAGCCGCCCGGGCCCCAGGGCCCCACGGCCGCGCCCACGGAAATGACACTGTGGGTTAGACGTGCTGGCGCTTAGGAAAACATCCGCCGTCTGCAAACTTAAGTACTTGCTAGTTAATAACACGTTACCGGCAAATCCCGGGCCTCAGGGTTCCAGGGTACAGAGATGGGAGCATCGGCGACACCTGCCCACCGTCTCCTCCCTCCCATCCCCTTCCCCCCCACCCTGGGGTTTCTCAGGGGCGCCCCTGGCCACCTGCCCTGAGCAGTGGGGATGCTGCACACTTTCCCCCTGGACACAGCGTGTGAGGGAAGCTTCAGTCAACACGGGACCCGGAGGCCCACCGGGGTCATGGGAACCAGCAGGAGGAGCAGTGCAGGAAGGCCTACGGGTCGCTTCAGAGCAAGACGAGAGGAGGGAGGCCCTAGCCAGTTTGGCTAAGTGGTTAGAGCTTCGGCCCTCGGACTGAAGGGTCATGGGTTCGATTCCAGTCGAGGGTGCATACCTCAGTCGCAGGCTCAATCCCTGGTCCTGGATGGGGGTGTGGCAGGAGGCAACCAATGGATGTGTCTCTCTCACCCTGGGGAAATGTCCTCGGGTGAGGATTCACAACAAACAAACAAGATGAGAGGAGGGAGGAGGAACCAGCAGCCACACAGGGCAAGTGTAGGAGACGGCGGCGGGGGGCTTGTGGCCAAGGGCAGGACTCTGTTTTGGGGGTCGGCCCTGGCCTCCCCTTACCTGGAGCGTGTGATGGCTGTGGCTGAGCTGGGCGGGCAGTGCGTGCCTCTCCCAGGCCCTTCCAGCTTCCCCACGGGAGGGGCCCCCTTCATTCTCTGCCCGAGAAGCAGGCCCTCACCCAGTCTGGAATGGGCGCATGCAGGCCGCCCTCCAACCTGGCAGAGCCGCTGGGGACGGGTTAGTGCTGTGGGATCCCGAGGCCACGGGCCAGGGGCGTGGGAACCTTCGCACCACACCCGGTACAGAGCCTCGTGTGCCCCTGTGTTCTCTCCCTCTCCCCCCACCCCCCCCTCTCTGTCTCTGTCTCTCTCCCCAACAGAGCAAACGTGGCCCAACACCCACGAGACCCTCCTGACCACGTGGAAGATCGTGGCGTTCACGGCGACCAGCGTGCTGCTGGTGCTGCTGCTCGTCATCCTGGCCAGGATGTTCCAGACCAAGTTCAAGGCCCACTTCCCCCCGAGGTCAGTGCCGCCCCCTGGGGCAGCCGGGAGAGGAGGCTGAGCTGGGCGGGCAGTGCGTGCAGAGTGGAGGTTCTCAGGGAGGACACAGGGAGAGCGAAACACTTCCCTGGGATGTTTTGGGGGGGCCTGGAGGTCAGGGCACCAAGCAGGAGACAGACCTCATTTCCCCCTCCCCCCCCTTACCCCATCTCCCTTCCTCCCTGGATAGAGGGTCCTGAGGGGCATTTGGGGTGAGAGAGGGGCACAGACTCCCCTCCCCACACGTGGCCTGGAGTGACGCCCCCTGCAGCTTGCGGTCCATGGGAGGGTAAGGAATGCACAGAGCTGATTAGGAGACAAAGTCCTAGGTGTGTGACCCCACGGAGGTCCAAAACCCATGTGCGATGTCGGGACAGGGTTCTGGTTGGGGTCAGGGCAGGGCCCGTGGACTCTGCCTCCAGTAGGAGCTGAGCCAGCGCAGTGGGGCCTGTGCAGGGCACTGTCGCCCCCCTTCGTCCCCCCCCCACTCACCAATGAGCTCGGTTTGGTGTCTTCGTCCTCCCGCCGCCGCCAGCCCCACAGAGGACCCTGTCACACTCCTCCCAGAGCGGCCCGGCCCAGCGCCTCCCTGTGCCACCAGCACCCTTCGGGCCAAAGAAGTGCCCCCTGGCCCCGCTGCTCGCAGGCCGCTGTGTGGAAGCAGCCGCTTAGAAAGTGAAGGGGCGGGTTGTGCACATGAGGAGGGCAGGTGGCCAAGCGTCCCAGGACACTCCCCAGGGCTCACGGACACCGCGGCCTGTCCCCGAGGAACCATCTATCCCCGCGTCAGCCTTCTCCTTCGGGGACCCTATGCATCAGAAAAGGCCACTCATTTTTGTTTGTTTTTTTGTGAATCCTTATCTGGGGATATTTTTCCATTGATTTTTAGAGAGAGTGGAAGGGAGGAGCAGAGACAGAGAAACATTGATGTGAGAGAGACACATTCATTGGTTCCCTCCCCCACTTGCCCCGACTAGGGTCAGGGATGGAGCCTACAACCGAGATACGTGCCCTTGACTGGGATCGAACCCGGGACCCTTCGGTCCACTGGCCGACGCTCTATCCACTGAGCCACACTGGCTAGGGCAGCCCCTATTCTCTCACCTGTTCTGTTCCCAGCAGCCTCCCTGAGGGACACCACAGAGACACTCGGACGCTCGGCTGGAACGGGCCATCTGGTCCCCTGGCAGGAGGTTATGGCCACAAGGCCAAGCACAGAGGTCCCAGAGGGAGGGAGGAAGCGTGAGGGGAGAGCGGAGGGGACAGGCGGGAGGGCCCAAGACAGTGAGGAGAAGGAACCTCAGTCCGGCCGGCGTGGCTCAGGGGTGAGTGTCGACCTATGAACCAGGAGGTCACGGTTCCATTCCCGGTCAGGGCACATGCCCGGGTTGCGGGCTCTATCTCCAGGGTGGGGCGTGCAGGAGGCAGCTGATCTATGATTCTCTCTCATCATTGATTCTATCTCTCCATCCCTCTCCCTTTGTCTCTGAAATCAATAAAAATATATTTTAAAAGAACTGACTTGATGACAGAGAAAACAAAGTTTAAATTATGGGGTAACAACTGAGAGCACCCTTTCTGAATCC